GGGGGGAACAGGAAGCAGGGAAGGACCGTTAGGAAGAGCATCCCCTGTTGTCCCTCCCCAATCGACATAGGGCATGAGACCTTCCCCTTTTGGCCTCTCTTTTTCACTTTAAATGAGGTTTCTGTTTATTCGTTTTTAATAATATTAACCCCTTAACACCCTCCAGAGAAGGATAAGGGGGCCCAGAGAGGGGATGGGACTTTCCTGAGATCACATAGTTTAGCTGTGCCAAAGCCATGACCAGAACCCAGATTTCTTTTGGCTTCTCGCTGGTTAGTCATTTCTTATGTACTTCACAGGACTGTGACGAGGACCAGAGGTAGAAGAGAGAAGAGAAAGCGATATGACCAGTGAGACATGCCTTGCAGAGGTGAGGCCTTCCTGTGTGGCCTGTGAGGTGGGGAGAGGAGGTCCCTGAGGGCCTGGGTTCCAGCCTCACATACCAGACACGTGAGTATAGCCAGGTCATCCAGCCTCCCTGGTCTCATTACCTGCCCCACTTACCTCACAGGGCCCCAGGGAAGAGGTGGGGGAGAGGGGAGGCTTGTGAAAGCTGTGGTGATTTCCAATATGTATGTTCACATGTTCTTTGAATATCTTGTCTTCAAGGGGTAGAGTGTGAGCTGCCTGGAATGTGGGCCGGGTTTAGTAACTTACTTCCCTCCCTTGAGTGTGGGCTGGATTTAGTAACTTACTTCTAACAGACAGGTTAAAGGAGAAGTGTTGGGGTGTGTTGAGAGTATGTGTGTGTGAGAGAGAGAGGGAGAGAGGGAGAGAGACACAGACACAGACACACTAGGTCATAAAACAGCACTGTAGCTTTCATCTTGGTTACACTCCTTAGTCTGTGGGAGAGCCAGCTGCCTTGCCTTGAGAATACTCAGCTACTCCCTGAAGAGGCCCTTGTTGTGAGGGACCGAGGCCTTCAGTCAAACGACAGAAGTCCCTTTTGATCAATCATTTCTTTAAATGCAAATGGATTATACCCTCCAAAGACATAGTTTGGCAGAATGGATAAAAACGCATGATCTAACTGTATGCCGTCTCCAAGAGACTCACTTTAGAGCCAAAGACACAAATAGATTGGAAGTATGGAAAGAGATATTCCATACCAATAGTAATCAAAAGGGAGCAGAGGTGGCTATACTAATATCATACAAAATAGACTTTAAATCAAAAACTGTTACAAGAGGCAAAGAAGGATATTATAAACCTCTAAATAACTAATAACAGATCGGAAAAATATGTGACACAAAGACTAACACAAGTGAAAGGAAAAATAGAAAGTTCCATAATAACAGTTGGAGACTTCAGTACCTTACTTTTGGTAATGGATAGAACAACCAGACAGAAGATAATTAAGGAAATAGAGGACTTGAACAACACAATAGAACAACTAGATCTAACAGGTGTATACAGAACACTCTACCAAACAATAGCATACACATTCTTCTCAAGTGCACAGGGAGCAGTCTCAGGATAGATCCTATGTGAGGCCACAAACTAAGTCTCCATAGATTAAGAAAGATAGATATATGCATCTTCCTCCTCAATCACAGTGGGATGAAGTTTGAAATTAATAACATAAAAACTGTAAAATTTATGAAATTGTGGAAATTACACACTTTTAAACAACCAATGGATCAAAAAAGAAATCACAAATTAGAAATTAGGAAATTAGAAAATACTTAGAGATGAATAAAAGTGAAGACACAGCATAACAAAACTTAGGGGATGCAGCAAGTGTGGTGCTAAGGGAGAAATTTATAGCTATAAACACCTACGTTAAAAAAGCAAGAATGATTATAGATCAGCAACATAACCTTACACCTTCAGGAACTAGGAAAAGGAACAAACTAATCCCAAAGCTAGCCCAAGCAAGGAAAAAAATCCACAGCAAGCATCATACCCAATGGTGAAGGACTGAATATTTTTCCTTTAAGATCAGGAACAAGGCAAAGATGCCTGCTGTCACCACTTATTTCAACATAGTACTGGATGTTCTAGCCAGGGCAGTTCGACCAGAAATAAACAAACAAACAAATGGCATCCAAATAGGAAAAGAAGATGTAAAATTATATTTGCAGATGATAAGATATTACATGTAGTAAACCCTAAGGATTCCACCCACACCAGAACTAATAAATGAATTCAGCAAAGCAGCAGATACAAAGTCAACACAAAAATCAGTTGCATTTCTAGACATTAACAGTGAACAATCTGAAAAGGAAATTACAAAAACAATTTCATTTACAATAGCATCAAAAAGGATAAAATACTTAAGAATTAACTTAACCAAAGAGACGAAAGATTTGTACAATGAAAACTATAACACGTTGCTGAAAGAAATTAAAGACATAAATAAATGGAAACAAACACATCCCACGTTTATGGGTTAGACGACTTAATATTGTTACAATGTCAACACTACCCAAAGCAATCTATAGATGGAGGGTGGTCCCTATCAAAATCCCAGTGATGTTTTTTTGTAGAAATACATCTCAGAATTCATGTGGAATCTCAAGGGTCCCTGAATAGCCGAAATCATCTTGAAAAAGAACGGAACTGGAGGATTCACACCTCCTGATTTTAAAACTAACTACAAAGCTACAATCAGAAATGGAATTGGCATGAAGACAGACACAGTGGCCAATGGACTAGAATAGAGAACCCAGAAATAAACCTTTATATAGTCAAATGACATTTAACAAGGCTGTCAAGACCATTTATGGGGAAAAGGACAGACAGTCTTTTCAATGAGCAGTGCTGGGAAAACTGGAACTTCACATACAAACGAATGAAGTTGGACCCTTACCTAACACCACGTACAAAATTAACTCAAAATGAGTCAAGGACCTAAATGTAAAAACGACAACAATAAAACTCAGGAGAAAGCATAGGATAAAAGCTTCATGACATTGGATTTGGCAGTGATTTCTTGGATATGACACCAAAGGCACAGGTAGCAAAAGAAAAAGTAGACAGATTGGACCTCAGGAAAATTTAAAAATTCTCTGCATCAAGATAGTTAACAGGGTAACAAAAGCAACCCACAGAATAGGAGAAAATATTTGTAAATCGTATAACTGAAAAGGGGTTACTATCCAGAATCTATAGAGAACTCCTAAAACTCAACAATGAAAATACAACCTGATTCAAAACTGGACAAAACACTTGAACAGACATGTCTCTAAAGAAGGTATAAATGGCCAATAAGCATATGAGGTGCTCAATATCATGAATCATTAAGGAAATGCAAAGTAAAACCACAATGAGATACCACCTTATATCCATTAGGATGGCCATTATAAACAACAACAACAACAATAACAGAAAACAGGTGTTGGGGAGGATATGGAAAAATTATAACCCTTGTACACTGTTGGTGGGAATGTTAAAATTACACAGCCACTATGGAAAACAGTATGGTGGGTCCTCAAAAAGTTAAAAACTGAATTACCATATGACTTGGCAATTCCACTCTGGGTATACATCCCAAAGAATTGAAAGCAGGGTGTCAAAGAGATATTTGTACACACATGTTCATAGCAGCATTTTTCATAGTAGGTAAAACACGGAAGCAACCGAGTATCCCCTGATCGATGAATTGATAAGCACTTATGTGGCACATATATATAATGGAATATTATTCAGGCTTAACAAGGAAGAAAATTCTAACATACGCAACATAGATAAACCTTAAGGACATGCTAAGTGAAATAAACCAGTCACAAAAAGACAACATCTGCATGATTCCATTTATATAAAATAGAGTATTCAGATTCATCGAAACAGTAGAATGCTGGCTGCCAGGGGCTGGGAGAAGGTGGGAATGGAGAATGTTAAAAACAAGACAATAATCCAGCAATCCTTTTACTGAGTATTTACCCTAAAGACTTGAAAACTCAAATCCGAAAAGATATTTGCACACCGATGTTCATAGCAGCATTCTTCACAGTGGCCAGGACGTGGAAGCAACCGAGTGTCCTACGATAGATGATTGGATAAAGAAAATGTGGTACATACATATGATGGAATATTACTCAGCCATAAGAAGAGATGACATACTGCCATTTACGACAATATGGATGGACCTCGAGATAATCATGCTAAGCGAAATAAGCCAGACAGAAAAAGTTGAAAATCACTTGATATCACTTATATGTGGAATATAAACCTAAAAGCAACAAACGAACAGGACAGAGACTCAGGAACGTGGTGGTTACCAGAGGGGAGGCGGGGAGAGGGAGGTAGACAGGGTCAGGGGGTCACATATGTGGTGAGGGAGGGAAATCTAACCCTGAGAGGTAAACACACAGTGTAAATACATATACGCCTTACTGTTAACGTGCGCAGCTGAAACTTATTGGATTTCGTTAACCAATGTCACCATAAAAAAATATAAAGAAATAAAAAATAAAATAAAACAAGACAACAGGTCCCAAATAGAGTTGCTTATACTAAGCCCCATGTCACCAAACTGAGACTTAATTTCATTACAGTTCTGGCTTTCCTAGAGGTGGAATCTTAAACTAGTCAATCAGGAATCACCTGATCAGCACTAGAGCGGTCTGCCTGATCTCTGTCGTTCCCTGAAGGAAAAGAACTTTGCAATAACCAACCCTCTTTTTTCCCAGTATAACTTCCCTGTTTCTGTTTCCTTCTGCTTGTAAAAGTTTTTCATTTTGTGCAGTTCCTTGGAGTTCCTCTCTATTTGCTAGATTGGACACGGCCCGTTCAAATAGATTTTTGTTCAGATAAACTCTTTAAAGATTTTAATGTGCCTCAGTTTATCTTTTAAGAAGTTATTATTTAATGGATATAGAGTTTAAGTTTTACGAGATGAAAAGAGGCATGGCAGTGGATGGTGGTGATGGCTGCACAACAATTTGAATGTATTTAATACCCATGAACTGTACACTTAAAAATGGTTAACATGGTACATTTTATATGTATTTTATCACGGTAAAAATTTTTTTTTTTTTTCTTTTTTACGCCTACGGCACCTGATTTTCCTAGGTACTAACCATCCAAGTACTAACCAGGCCCAACCCTGATTAGCTTCTGAGATCAGATGGGATCGGGGGCTCGTTCAGGGTGGCATGGCCGTAGTAAAAATATTGGAAAAAAAGAAAAGAAACGAAAAAAGCAAGTGAAAACATGAAGTTTAGGACAGTAGTTACCTGTTGGAGCAGACAGGAGGGTGTGGGTGAAGAGGAAGATATAACTTGTTAAGTGATGTTTCAGCTCTTTTGTTGGGTGGCAGGTTCAGAGGTGTTAACTACATTGTTTTATAACTAACATTTTGTTAAATGTGTCCTTTCATATGCACAGATTGTATTTTAAAATGTAAGTGAGAAAATATTCAGAGGTAAAAGTAGGAGGAAATCTAGGTTGGAGGCAGGCCAGTCAGAAGTAGTGAGCATGGGCTGTGACACAACTGTGACACCCAACACACAGCTGTGGGACAGCGGGGTCCAGGGCTCTGGGAGAAGGGCACTCACGGCTTTAGGAGGAGGGAAGCCTGGCGGCGAGGCTGCAGGGCCGGCCTTGCCCACACGGGGGCGCCCCACGCCCCGCACTGCCACATCCAGCCTGGGGGAAGGCTGGAATGGAGGGAAGATGGGGAGGAGGCCTTCTGGCCAGAGAGCGTGGGGGAAGTGTCCTGTCTGCACAGACTAGGCCCTCTCTCCAGGTTTCTTGTGTGATCCAGCCTTGAAGGTCAGTGTGAAATCCCTGTGGCAACTGGAGACACAGGCTGCTTTCAGGCCCTGAGTAATTCATCCGTATGCATGTCGGGGCTGCCTGCGTGGGCGCGGGGGAATGTTTGTTTATTGAGGTGTAAGTGGGGTGTGTGTGTGTGTGTGTGTGTGTGTGTGTGTGTGTGCGCGCGCGCGCGCGCGCGCGCGTGCTGTGGTGGGAGGGGCTGTACATAGGGGGTGGGGAGAGGAAAGACAGAACCAGGAGAACTATTTGACCTGAGCTTTCTATTCCCAAAGGACCACCCAGGAAAATATTGTTTACTGTGTGTGTGTGTGTGTGTGTTGTGTGTGTGGTGTGTGTGCGCGCGCGCGTGCTGTGCTGGGAGTGGCTGTACATAGGGTGTGGGGGAGTGGGTTTCTCCAGGAATAGAGTCGAGGGTGGGAGGGGGTCATGGGAAGGGGCACTTCCTGCTTCCGGAGGCTTGGGGCTGGGACTGACCAGGAGGAGAACCTGAAGCCCACGCAGGTCGGCTGGCTTTCCCCATCAGAGGAGTCCCCGGTCTGAAAGAGGAGGCATAAGCCTTTGCTTTGGGCCTGACCTAGCAGGGCTGTGTCCTGAGGACTTCCCCGTGAGTCTGCGCATCCCCACGCCTTCCAGTGGCCGTTAGTTACCTAGCAAAGGTAATTCACTGAGGCTGCCAAAGAGGCTGCCAGGTCCTGGAACCCTCGAAGTCCTGCTGCTCAGGGGCCTGGTGTCACCAAGATGTGCCCAGGGGTGACACAAGAAACACCCTTGGTCTCACTTTAGGCCAGAACATTTTTTTCCTCCTGAAAGCTGCCTGGGGAGGTGGCGGGGAGCCCAGGTTTGGGGATAGCAGAATATGCCACCCCAAAATATGCTTCTTGGGCAGAATGGTTATTTTGAGAAACAACAGATACCAGAGAAGCTCTGAAAAGAGTTGAAATTACTCTTTTGAAAGGGAAATTTACATTATAAAGGAAACCTCCATTTGCAAGGGTGTCTCCCTCTTGGTCCTAGGAAGAGAAGATGATGCTAAGTCATAAGAGAATCTTATCAGTGGAGATAAGATTCTCTAACAAACTTTGCCCTTGTTTACCCTGCTTTTCTTCCTGACCTTCCATGACTGGCCTCCCCTCTACGCCCATCTTCCTTTCTCTTGCCTTTAGCTGAAGATGATATTTAAGCTGCTGGCTTAGGCCATGTGGGAGAGTTAACTCATTTTTCCTTGAGTACTTCCCATGTATGCATGAGGTAGATATACGAATAAACTTCTGTTCCTTTTTCTCATGTTATTCTTTTATTCCAGGAGTCTCAGCCTAGAACACAGAAGGGAAAATTGTTTTTCTTCCCCTCTAGTGGGGACATCGACCAGCGGCCTAGAGTCTTCTCCCTGCTCCCACATGCTCGCTGACAGCTACTGCACATGGATAAGCCCTGTAAGCTGTACCCTGGCCTGGTGTCTCAGCCAGAGCTTTAAGAGCATTAGGGCGGGTAGAACTTAAACCCAGGGTGGGAGCCTCCAGCCAGCAGGCTGAGGGAAGTGTCCCAGGGCAGGGGGAAGACGAGTCCTGATGCTTCTCAGAGCCAGCCTAGGAGGAGCATTAAGAAGCCCAGGAGTCGGACCAGCGCGGGATGCTGCAGAGCCTGGGCGACCCCGGCTGGGGAGGGAAGGCGAAGAGCAGAGCCTCACAGAGCTCCGGTCGATCCGTCTCTCCTTGTCCAGACTTCTCCCCAGCAGACCTTCCCCTCAGCAGCCTGGCTGTGACTCAGTACAGCCCTTCATTCCCCGGAGCTCCATCCTTAGGCCCAGCCCAACAACCATGGTAGAGATCTCAAGAAACATCCTTCTGAGATGTTGGGATGTGACTGCTCTAGGAAGGAGCGGCATTTGGCAGGGAGCAGGGGCTCCAGCGAGCAAGGCTTAATGACCCTGTCATGGGAGGGAGCAGAGTTTGCCATCCCAAAATCTCCCGTTTAGGATGTCAGTTATTTTAAGCTGATTATTTTTACGAAAGAAAAGCCTCAGAAAATACTCTGACCTTTTCCCTCAATGCCTAAAGGAATTTTGAAAGAGGACCTGCTCCAGGAAGGGAGATATCATGCTAGATAACTGTAGTTTAATCAAACCATGTGTGTGAGACGGGAAGGAACCTGGCAAGGCCCATTTGATCAAAGTCTTGTTTGTGTCCCAGGGTTAAAGATGTCGCAGCAAACACTTATTTACCAACATTTGCTTTTCTGCCTCCTTGGCATAAAGCCTTAACTACTCTATCAGTCCTTAAGTGCCATATGCTTCTGGAACAGTCCTTATATACATATGTAATTAACTGGTTATTTTCTCCTGTAAATCTGTCTCATGTTAACTTGGTTATTAGACCAGCTGGAAGAACTCAGAAAGGTAGAAGGAAAATTATTTTTCTTCCCTCACATAGTCACTGAGTAGAAGGCACTGGTATCAGTCCTGAGTTGGTTAAAACTCCAGCTCAGCCACCTAGAAGCCATGTGACCTTAAATGAGTAAATTACTTAACCTAATTGAACCTCAGTTTTATTATCTGCAAAATGGGAACAATAATTACCTTGCAGAATTATGGAGATTTAGAGTTTAGAAACGTAGAGTACTCGATCAATAGTAAACACTGTCACTACCATTATTTTCCAATGCCCGACCTCCCTAGAATGACCTCAGGCCTGACGTCTCAGATAAGAGCAATCCTATAATTTGCCTGCACTACCGTGATAGTGATGGGTATGAAGTTAATGTTACTCAGGCAGTAATGGATTAACGTCCCTGTTTATTAGAGCCTCGGGCTGAATCTACTAGTTGGCAGACAGCAGGTCCTGTGGGTGAATGTATAGGTGGGTCTCTCTCTCTGGGATTTCACAGCAGAAGGAATACAGAGCTTTCAGAGCAGAAAGAGACCAGGAGTGGCTGCCTGTTCCCGTAGAGGTTGGAGCCCAGGGCCTTTGTCTGAGGCCCTGCTGATGTCCTTTGTACCTTTTCTATCATGGGGATGAGGGGTGAAGGGGAGGAAACAGGGCCTCAGTGGGGGCTGTGTGTCCACAGCTTACCCTTCCTCACTGCTCACTTGGAGCCTCTCATCCCTGCCCCAGAGCCTCCAGTCATCCAGTTCAAATTCACTTGGATGAGGCAGGGAGAAGCCGCCCTGGTTCCTGGCACGTAATAGCTGCCTAAGAAACATCGGTGGAACTGAATTGCACGCAGGCCATAAAGTCGATGGGAGGGAAGGGGCTTTTTGTGAACTCAGTCCAGAGGCAGGGAGCCTGTGGGTGGGTACCACCCCAGATCAAGTGCCAGGAGTAGATGGGGCCCCGCCCTTCCGGGTGTGCCGCTGTTGAAACCTGGCAGCCACCCCAGATACCTCCCTGCTCCCACTCCGACCCCCCCGCCCCCGTTCTGTCTGCCTCCTCATAAACTCCTTTGAATCTCTCTGCCTGTTCCCTTGTCCTCCTCTAGACGGCCATTATTCCAGCCCCGACGCAGCCATGTCACAACTGAGATCCTCGCCTGCAGTCCCGCCCTCTTCCAGCCTATTGCACAAACCACCTCGAAGTGATATTTCTGAAACCAGAAAGGTGATGATACTTAACCCTGCTTAAATACCTCCTGTCTTCCCAGTGCCCATAGGATAAAGCTCAGATTCTTCAAAGCCACATGTGACGTCCCGAGAGATAATCCGGGGCCCTGCTTTCCTCTCCAGCTTCATTTCTGAACCACTGCTCAGTGCCCTGGTCAGACTGAACTGTCCACTCGCGGAAAATGCCAAGCGCCCTCCATCTTCCAGGGTTTTGAACAAGTATATGCTCCCTCAAGGGGGAACTTAGCATTGTCACTCACACACACACACCCTTGTTTCCCCCTGCTTGACTTGGTTAATTTCTAGTTCTCCCTAGTATTAGACACCACTACTACTGGAAAGCTGTCACTGACCTCCCTTCCCCCAAGGCTGACCTAGGGGCCCCCTCTGCCCTCTGAGCTCCACAGGCTTGTAGGATGCACTTCTACACTGACCACTTTCCTGTGGGCGTCCTCTTTATGCTCCCCTGGAGTCCCGTCACTTCTCCAAGGGAGGGCCCCGTCGCCCGCTGTCCCATCTCCTAGGGCCTAGCCCGGTGCCGGCCCGCGGCAGGCACGGAGCCGCAGCCACTGTGATGTTCGCGGGGGCCCTTGGCTGAGCGCGTGCCGTGTGCCCGGAGCGGTGGGGGTGCTCTCCGGGCACAAACGGGTTCGTCCTCACGGGGCCCACCTGCCCCCAGGGGCCGTTCCCGCCCGAGGCAGAAAGCTCAAGCTGCATCTCCCAAACCGACTCCTGCGAGAGTGGCCGTGCGTGTCGTGACCCAGGCTTAGTGGATTTGGAAGGTGGGAGGAGCCGAGGCCGTCTTCCGGCTGCAAACGGTCGGGCAGCCGTGCGTCTTCCTGCCCCAGTGTCCAGCGTGCGACCCCAGCCCTGGCCGCAGCAGTGGAGGCCCTGCTGTCCCCTGGGTCACAGCCATGTCAGCGTGTCCAGTGTCAGTAGTGCCAGTGACAACCTCTAGATGCCCACCTTCCCTTCCTGCCCAGGCTGAGGGAGCAGAGCTTTCAGAGGCTCAGCCTCCCCTCCTCCCCTCCCCATCCAGCCATCCCATAAGCACCTAACCATCCAGATCAAGTCACCTTTGTTCAAAATTCCTCAAGTGGTTCCTGTTTGCTGCACTGCACTCTGGCGGATAGAACTATCATTGTCCTTATTTTTCAGACAAGGAAACCGAGGCACAGAGCCACACAGCCAGTGAGTGGAAGAGCCAGGCTCCGAAACCAGGTCTCTCTCAGCCCAGAGCCCAGATGGCTCTTGCCTCAGGGAGTATGTGTGGCGTGTGCCAGGTATGGGAGGAGGCTCAGTGGGCCTACAGGCAGTGGACTGGGCTGATCTCATGGCAGGTCCTGAGCAGATTCCCAAGGTGTCTGCCCCTTCCTGAGAAGCACAGGCAGCTGAGGTTCCTGGTGACTTTCCCGAGGCTGGGGCTGACTCAGATGGGACGCGTGGGGCAGGGAGGCTGCTGGGAGAGCCCAGCGCTCTGGGCACCATGCCAGTTCCTCCCACGGTTGGACCAGAATTCAAGGGCGCGGTGTGGCACGCACTCAGGGTGGATGTTCCTGCCAGCTGCTGAGCACATTTGTTCCTATTGGGCAGCTGAGTGTCGGGGAGGCCACAAGAGCGTCCAGCAAAGAGCTGGGCAAACCACATGAGTTATTCGATGCCTCAGGTATTTAAAGGACAGCAGTCTTGGGCTGACCGCATCTGAGGGCACCGAGCAAGGCAGCAGTGGTCTTGTCCCCTCTCTCAGTCAGTTCATTCCTTCATTCACTTATTCATTCTTTTATATATTCAACGAGTGAGTGCTGTCACGTAACAAGCGTGTCCAGACCTACTCCCTGCCTCACAGAGCTTGCATTCTAGGGAAGACCCCATTTTCCTGAGTTTCCTTGTTGATTGATCCCCCTTTAAAAATATCGCCTCTCAGCCGGTGAACACCGTCTTCCCTGCCATAACTTTAAGTGTCCTGGTTCCCTGAGGGAGATTTTGGGAATGCTGCAGGTTGCCCTTGCCTGTAATGACCACCGTTTTCCCCACTGCCGCTTGTCTGCCAACAGAAGTCTAGCCCCAAGGTAGGAAGGGGAGGGAGTCTGGCATCGGGAGTGGAACAGATCCTTTTCATTCACTTCTCGGAGGCTGCCCCTCATCCGGGGCTCACAGGCACCTCCTTCATCTTAGTCCCTTCAACAAACCTGGGCTTGGGCAGCACTGTCCTCCAGCCCTTGAAGTACGGCTTCTGGATTTCCAGGGCCCTCACCACACTATGTCGTAAGCACTGATATATCTTTTTATTGCCCCAGTAGACTGAGAATATCTTGAAAACAGAAACCAGACTCATTCATCGTTTTCCCTTCCCGGCCCGGGGCCTGGTGTGTAGTCTGTGCCTAAGGCATGCTTGTCCATTAGTCGTCCTGTAACCCCACACAGCTCTCCCTGGACACTCTTCCCCAGGGGAGGTGTAGCCTTTCCTCTCTCTCCCCAGTTCCAGCATCCCTTTCTACAGAAGCTTCTGAAAACCAAAAGGAAGCTCTCACTGTGCATGTTGTTCTCTCATCTCAAGAAGCTCGCAGTCTGGCAGGGCTTAGAAAAGCAAACATGAGCATAATCCACTGTGGCGCTGGGAAAACAGTGAGACTTTCAAGCGGGAAGGAGCGCCGGGAGTTCCCGGCGGGATGCTGTGCACCTCGGGGCTTCCAGGTTGCCTGGTTCACTAGCAGTCTGCACGTTGGATTGTCTTTTATTCCAGGGGTGATTTTACAACAGATGCATGTTAATTTGTGGAGGCCGATGAGCATGCAGATGTTTCCTGTCTGTTGTGCGATGTGAATTGTTTCTGGTCATGGCAATTCAAATAAATGTGGGCCAGTAGAGAATAAATCTTTTGAAGCAGTTGTAAAACCTTACTGGTTTCCACCTTAAAGAGTTATAAAGCATGTTTACTTATATGAGTCATGATTTTACCATTTTGAGAGTTATCCGTTAACAGTGGTTAAGAGCTATCTCTGGCACAGGTGGTGATAATACCGCGTATTATAATACTTATTCTGTGTCGGGTACCATGCCAAGGGGTTTACAGTCACTGCCTTATTTAATTCTCATGACAACCCTACATACTATTGTGTTACGAGTCGCATTTTACAGATGTAAAAAGTGAGGCCTAGAGGTTAGGTAACTTGCCTGAGGACTCAAGAGTTAGTAAGTGGCCTATCTGAAATTTGTACCTCGAGACCTGGGATTTGACAGAAAGATTCGTACTCTAACTGCACCATAGATATAGGGGCAGTCAGAACAAACTGGGGAATCAGGGTAAGGCCTCATGCGAGAGGACATGTGAACCGTTTCAAAGGATGAATGCGAGTTAGTGGAGGAGAAAGGAGGGAGGGCCGGGTTTCCAGGCACGAGTGAGCGTGTCGGATGGCAGAGGTCTTCAACAAGGCCCAGCACTTAGGGAATCTAAGTTCAGTTGGGCTGGAGAGCAGGGCGTGGGCTGATGACTGGCAGGAGATGAGAGGTGTGGAGGAGCTGAGCAAGAAGGGCGCTGTGGACCAGCTAAGGAGTTTGGACTTTATCCTCAAACTATAGGACTTGAAGGAGAGGAGTGACACTAGATGAGTTTGATTTTTATCTTTATTGCTTTTATTAAAGTTATAAAAACAGTTGAAAGATTCGGCTTTTTTAGAGACATCGTTTTGGCAGCAGCACTGAGGCAGGGCTGAGGTGGTTGGTGGGAACAGAGGCAGGGAGGCTGCCAGGGAAAAAGAAAAGGAGAGGATGGAATGAAGAAACAGTAAAGCTGTTTAACCTACACATCTGGGCACCTGATGAAGTACATGGTGCATGGGGCCGGGCCGGGCACACACAGGTGGAAGCTCGGGAGCCATCCAAGTGCCGAGCCTAGAAAACCTGCTGCAGGCCTGCTCTTGCTCGTTTAGCATCTGAGAAACATCACGGTACTTGGAATTTAAGAGGAAAAGGGCTATCACCAAAAAGTCACTATAGTTCCCCTTCTGAAAAGCATAGATAGACCCTGACACAAAAGCGCCCGGGACCTTTTCTCCTGGCCTTAAAGAATAAAAGCAATGAGGAGAAAGGAAAAGAAACATAAGCCACAGTGACAACCACCATTATAAACCTCTTGATAGTTATGCACATACAGATTGTCAGCACACCAGGTGATTTTTAAATCCCAGTCCAGTTCCCCTCTTGGCTGCTTAATGGCAGCTGGCCATTTCCTCTTGGGACCTGGCCATAGTAAGCTCAGGAAATGCAAACTTTTAATTCTGCAATCAGTAAAGCATATTAGAAAAGTAAATCCACAAGTGAAGAAATCACATTATGAATTCCAAAGCTAGGGAAAAGGACTGTTAAGATTTTGCATTTGATGGGGGCAGGACCACTTTACTTGTTCTGATGCAGTACCCTAGCGATTGCTTTGACCATTCGCCCTTCAACATTAGCCAGGATTCGGCCTCTTCCAGCCCTGGACGTTTCCAGCTTCCACCCACTGCACTTTGGCTCTAGCCACTGAGCTGTCTGCAGTCTTGCTTTGTGCTCTTCTGACAGCAGAGATGGCCTGCTAGGATGAAGGCCCAGCTAAAGGGTTAGCATTTTTTGTTATACCCACTGCCCTAGGATTTTGCATGAATCAGATAGAATATACTTGAAAAGCCTTTGTAGACCCTGATGAGCTATACGAATATTACCAGCCCTTCTTTATTCTGGTTGATGATTTAACCGACACTTGCTTTACTGCACTGCAGAACATCAAGCAGATTTGGATTTAACTTTTACAACTACTGTGTGCTCCATATACTACAGATGCTGTGTACTTTCACACTTACTCCCCACAATAATTTCATTATGTTTCTTTTACCGAAGAGGCTCAGAGAAGTTAACTTTCACAAGAACAAACTTTTTTTTTCTTTTTTAGGCCCTCTTGAGATTGGGTTAGAGCCTCCCTCTCACAGTACCTCCTACACAGTCTTCTCCACCAGACTAGAGGCTGTGGGTGCCGGGAACTTGATTTTGTTCACTGTTATATCTCTTCTATCCAGCAAATGGGCATATAGAAGATGCTCCAAAAAATACTGTTTAGATGAATGAATGAGTGAATGAAGGCTGATCTTATATCCATGTCTCTACTCTGAATTCTGTTTTCCCTATAACTTACTGTTCACTGTCTTCCTCTACCAGAATGTAAGATGCATGGCATTAAAAAACAAAATGCAACAAAGTTAATTCGAAGATCTAATTGGTTTTATTAAGCGATTCATGAATCTGGCAGCATCTCATCTAAGCAACTGGAATGGCGCTCAGATGAGTGGTACAAAATGGAAGTTTTTATAAGCAGAAAGAGGATAGGACTGAGAAGTTAAGAGTGGATTTCAAGCAAGGACACCTTCTCTCAAGGGAAGGTAGGGGTCTTTATCGGGCAGATTACCTCAGGAGCATTGATCAGGAAATTCCAGACTGGGTTAAAATTCCACTCTTGGGTGAGGCTGAAACTGCAATCAGGTTAGTAAGTTTTGGTTTGGTGACATGGCTTAACAAAAGTGACTCCAACTTGGCTGGCTCTTTTTCTAACAATGGGAAGACATACTGTGTTTCTTTCATGGCTGGATACTCAAAGCCTAGGAATAATGTTTTAGGACATAGTAAAGGTCCAATAAATGCTTGTTGGTAAATTAACAAATGATAGCCGGGCAGACAAGCGAATTCTACTCCTGTTTTTGTAACATCAGTGGTATATTTTTCTGATGCTGATTTCAGTAAGATGTTTAAGACTGTGTGCGATGCCGTGACTTGGATAACTGCTGAACGCTCTGGCTTCCTGAGTTAAACATTCACTTGCAGCTGAATGATGAAATCATAACTTGAGACCATTATGCTCTGTGGTCCTCCCTGTCACACTGACCTCCCTTCATCAGATGAAGAAGCAGGAAAAAATAACCTACTTGTAATAATCAGCTTCACATTCTACATCAAATGTACTGTTTTTCCCTCTGGAAACCAGTATGTGCTACGTCGAATGTTTTCTTTTAGTATGAAAGTGATCATCACATTAATAATATTTAGAATATGGAAAAAATATAGAAAAAAGTCACTAATTTTACTATGCTCACAAAATGATTAGCATATTTGTGTATGTCCTCTTCAACTCATGCGTGGGTATACATGTATTATGCATATATATGGACATATGTCATGGTAGTTTGTGTTCTGCTTTTTCATTTAATACTGTGCCATGTCTATCTCATAAGGACTTCATAACCATCCATTTAGATAGTTATTGATTTTCCAAATAAATTGATAATTTCAAAAACAGACATAATTTTCTTATATAAACTCCAAATCTGGAATTCTTAGGAAAAAGATGTGAACTCATGGTACTTGACAGATTATGTAATTGCTTTGCTAATGTTATGCCAATTTATCCAGCCACCAACTGATGATAATTTATAATTTAAATCATGTTATTGATGTAGTAGAGAAAATAAAAACCCTATCAGTCTTTCAATTTGCATTTAAGAACATTGCTAGGGAAAAAGAACTTTAATCGTGATAGCTTACTAGTTATATTTCTTTTCTTTTAAAAACACCACAAATATCGAGGGGAAATTATATCTGCTAGTTGGACATCTCTTCCCCATGGAGGCAGTGTACTGTTAGGGTAGAAAGAGCAAGGGCTTTGGGATTCAAATCCACTGTAACTCAAAAGAGTTGGACATACATGCACCAACCTTGTGAGTTGTTAGTTTCATCCATTCATTTACCAAAGAAAGACCATTAATTACATTTGTAAGACAAAAAGGAAGATGTGATCAAAAAGGAGAATGTGATCATTTAGCTAATACTCTTTGAGTCACTCCCCTACTCACTGTCCTCTGCAAGTAAGGAACCGTCTTGGGAAATAGAAGAGCTTCCCTTCCCCCGCAAGTATTAATTTTCTTTGATTTTTTTTTTTTCCAAGTCAGATGCTTACACTTATGAAGCCTTTGCTTTACACGAGATGTCGCATATCAGCTAACCTTCATGACAACCCTAGAGAGGTTGGGAGTAATTATTAACACCTTACAAAAGAAACCCGATGCTTAGGGAGGCTAAGTAACTTGTTTGATGTCATACAGCCTGTCTGAACCTAGGGGTAGCTTATCTGGCTATCTTGCTAGCTACCCCAGTCTCTTCTAGCAAGTGAGGGTAAAGTCAGCAAAAATAAATAAATCACTGCTGTTCTGCTGAAGAGAAAAATACTCGTCCAATCACTCTCATTTGAATGCTTTTGTCACTATGGCCTAGAATGAATGGAGGAAGGGTGACAGAATCTAAAACTTTAAAGCCAGAACATGTTTGAGGAGTGATGTGCTTGAAACCCCCTTAGATGCTTCTAAACTCTGAAGCAACTTGGCTTAATTGCTCACAGTTGGGCAAGTCAGGCAAGCCTGGGCTGTCATTTCCTGTCACGTATTGGAAGAATTTTCATAGTGACGCAGTCTATCATTAACCTCTTTCTTCATGTCTTCTAGGCAAGTGCCTGACCTGATTATTAAAACAACCATGTTGCAAAGGTGGAAGTTTACTGTTAACCTTTCTTTACCTTTCCAACCAAAAGTGAGGGTAGGGGGACACACCTTACTAAGTTTGTTATACTGTAAACCATTTGCTAGGGAAGGTAAAACCCAGACATTTAGATTTTTCAGACAAACCAATACCCAGTTTATCAATCTAGAATTCAATACAATAAAACATTGGCTCACATAAAAATATTAAACGGCTTTTAACAATTATTTTTTCTTTTTTAAAAAATAGGATTAATATTGACATAATATCTATGGTGCAAAAGTAAAATACTAAGTTCAGACAACTCAAGAATCCAAATTATTCATCAATGTGATTAAATCAGAGATAAAAATGCCTCTCTGAATTTCCCCAAATTTATTTTACTATCATCTTTTCCTGTAGAAATTATCTTGGCTACTTAAGATAATTTAAGTCCTCAAAAGACTTGAGTATAACGTGATAATACAGTCTTGTTCAGTACCATGATCATCTGCAATGCCCAGCCCATGTTTCTTAAATAACTTTCCAGCTTTGACTTGTCTGTTTCAGCATGTGCTCTTGAACTGTCCCCAGCCTTTTTGGGCACTGCAGCTATCAAAGAGCTGCATACGTTCTGTGACTTAGGGTGTGGGACAGAGAAAAGCAAAGATAAGCAGGTGCTCTGTACATATGTCTCTTTTCCCAAAGCAGCCATCGAAACTGAACTCAAATAAAAGTGCTCACATGAAGTAAAGGATAACACACTGGATCAGAAAGCCTAGCTACTTCGATTGTTGAAGACAACATGGCAACTCACGGAGAAGATGAGCTGACTGTTAACAAGGAATAGGTAGCACAGAGTAGGCCCATACGGGGTTTTAGTGCTGGCTCTGTTACTGAAATTGATCTTGAATAAATCTCTTAAGCCTGTATCTTCAGTGGGAAAAAGTCAGGGTCGGACTGGGTGATAAGAGGTTTAGTTTCAGCTTTAAACCAGTTTTTAACCCTTGCTTCTGCATACAGCCTCTTCAGAGCCCTTCCTTCTCATAAGTGGTGGTTAACTTGCACCAAAAACCCCTCACTTTACTAGCAAGACTCAGTTAATGAACAAAGACCAAGGCAAGAGATTATGTTTGGCTGTAGCTCAACATTTGGGGTTGGGGAAAATAATCCTATACACCTGCCTTATTTAATTCTTCCCCCACCCCTCCACATTTCCTGTACTTAGATCTCCCCCCGCACCCCCGCCCCACATTCCCTTACTAACAGTGATCCTTGTTTTAATAGAAAGGAAAAGAGGCACACAGAGGCTATGGACTCATGTCCAGGGAAAAGGGCAGAGTCCAAACTGGAGCCAAGCCTGCCAACCTGCCAACAGACACAGCAGGCTTCTCCTGTAAATGCCTCCTCCATCTGCCACGACATTAGGCTCAGAAAGGGAGTTTTCATTGTGGCCTTAAGGTTAACTGCTCTGGATGCTTTCAGAGAACCTATTTCAAAATTTCTCCCTCTTGCTTGCCTTAAAGTAGAGGAAAGGTGAAAAATCAAAATAAGTCATATACACAAAGCCCAAAGCACATAAGCTAAATGATTTGATTTAATATTAGCAACGGTCAAGTTGAATCTTAATAATGAAAATGGAGACAGTCATATTTTCCTCAAAAAAAAAAAAAAAAAAAAACCAAACAAACAAAAAACCCAAACATTTGGAGGAAGAAACATTAAAAAAAAAAAAAAAAAAGTTTATTTGGAAAAGCCAGCGTCTTATACAAGGTTTTTATCTATACTTTCACTGTCAATTACAATATTTTGAAATGCATTGAATGTAATATATAAGTCATTGAATGTCTATCATTGTTCTGCCACAATTTAAAAGATATTAGGTTAAAAAATATTTTGTTTTCATTCTGGTCCGTCTTCCCTCCTATCTTATTCTAAACCCATTTCTCTACTTTCCAGGTAAGTGAAAGGGTCATGAAATTTATAGATTTTTTAGAGTAAGAATGTGTCCAATAATTCTAAGCAAAACATAATTATCTTTAAGATCTTCTCAGAAAAAAAGAAAAGGAGTTATTTATTGAACTAAAAGTATTGAGCAATTTCCTTCCCAATCTTCTACTAGGTTTGCTGGGGGCCAGATCTCAGATCTCTCTGGCTCTAATTAGCAAACCAAAAAAACCCCCAAAAAACAAAGAAACAAAAAAAACAAAAAAAAAACCCTAAACACACAAAGAATGACTATCTCACACACAGCTCTAAGCTAGACACAGATATAAATGAAACCACTATGAATCAAAGGGGAAAAATTCCAGGAAAAACAACAAAAAAGATTCTGAGTCTCACAGTTTAACTGAGGTTTTAGAAAAACCTAAGCTGAATTCAGCTGCTGTTTGAAATATCTGTCTACACTTAATTGGATGTATTGTCTTTACCTAAGGAGGCACAAATATGCAGTTTTGTATATTTTAATACTAACTTTTACAGTGAAAAAAAATAAGTGATCTCAAAAGGGTCAATGACCACCCAAAATATGTCTTTGAAAAGGGGTGCAAAAAAAAAAAATCATTTAATGAAATTAACTCACAAGAACTTGGCTTCTAATAAGCATCTTAAGATACTAGAGGGGTGTTGTTGAGTACAGTATGTCTGGAACAGCCAAGATGTTTCCAATATTTTATGCCTTAAGTTTCCTAAATATATAGCAAGCAGGCACATATGCCAGGCAACTATTGATACCAGAAAAATATTTTAGGATTTTATAAAATCCCCAACTTTCAACCTTCTACTCATAAATCTTTCAGTGATCATGTCTGACAACACAAATAACAGTGAAACAAGATTAATTTTAAATTTTACACTTGCTTCAAACACGTCAGTTATTTCTCCTTGTAATGGAACACAAAATAGATGAATTCAGCAGACTGGTTTTAAAAGTTAAGGCTCCCTAAAGATTCTAAAAACTAAAACTTAAGGCACATATTATAATCTTCATGACGCTGTTAAAAGCTAAGATTCAAAAAAGCAAACAAAAATTCCCGACTTCCTTCTCTCATTCTTTGCCAAGCACTCCCTCCCCAAAGGATATGGCGTTTTTAATTTGGGCTACAGGTAAGGAGTGAAACAAAAATTCCATCAAGGAACACTTGGTAGAATTTCCACACAAATGTCCACTGTTTGCATTTGAGCACCACTAAGAGATGACAGGCCAGCAGAATGTTTTCAGATACCTTGGGTCACAAGTGGCTCCATTAGCTGTGGGCTCAAACCGGACTCTCCTCCTCTTTGGGGCTGCCTTCTGTGCTTTTCTGCTCTGGAGATTCTGATGTGTTGGTAACTTCTTTTGGCTTCTCAACATCTACATTGGTCTCCTCCTCTTTACTTTCCTTTTTCTGCTGCCTCTCTGCTTCTTGTTCTTTAGCCACAAGTCGATAATTGATGCCCATACCAATGAAGAGAAAGATGCCTGCGACAATGAGGATTCCGCCACATGCCCAGTATGTGTATTTGTAGTCTCCATATATGTCATTGAGACGACCTAAGGATGCCCAAAAAACAGTTATGTGGATAAACGTAACAAGTATATCTCTTTCCAAATAAAGCTTAAGGATCCACTCAGAAAGATATCCCCTAAATCCTCAAAGAGCCCACAAATGACAAATTGGTTTTAAAAGGAACTGCTAAAAATGATCGGATCTTTTGTTTATGATGTCACTCTTGATTTCGTGTGGCCTCACATGCTGTCATTTCTAGCAACTTGAAAATGATTAAATCTCGGCAAATTTGAATTGGGAAAGACCTAGAGATTACCTGGAAATCAGTTTTCTCAATACGCAATGGAAAAAATTGTTGCTCAAAAGAGGCTTAGCCTTGCCCAAGGCCACAGAGCTGATCCAGTCTCCCAGGCCCATGCTCTTTCTCTGACATAAGCATTTTCCAAAGAGCGGTCCTGTGAACACTTGTCCTATGCTAAAACATCATCTAACAGCAATACCTGTGCCATTCTGAGCGCTTAATCCTCACAACAGGCAGATTCTATCATCACTCCCATCGTGTAATGTGAAAGCTCAAGTACGCAGACCTTAAGTAACTCGTCCAAGGTCAAGAAGCCAGTAAGTGAAATAGCTAATATGTATATACATTGGTGCACACACACACACACACAGAATGAGGCTGGAGAGAAAGGTGGGCCAGGCTATGAGTGGCCCTGCAGGCCACATTAGGGAATTTGATTTTCACTCAATGAACAATGGGAAGGAACTGAGGAGTTCTGATCGGCTGAAATAACAGCTTTGCATTCGCAAGGATAATTTTGCCTGCAGAGTAGAAAACAAACTGAAGAGCGGCTAGAGTGGATACAGAAGACCAGTTAGGAGGCTACTGGAAAAGCCCATATAGGAGATAGGAATTATGGATGAGGAGGTGTTGTGACGGAGAAAGTGGGTAGATTAGAAAGAAATTTAGAAAGTGAAAACTGAGAAGACTTGGCAACTCGCTGGGTGTGGGATGAGGAAGACAGCAATATCAAAAGACAGCTGCAGGTCTTCTTTATGTTCACTCATCCCCTAAGTCATACTTTCAAAGTATGAGTCACATCCAAGAGAGTCAAATAATTTTTTCACTACCTTTTATCTATTGAGTTATTAACTTAAAAGATGAAATATTTAATAACCATAGGAAACAGTTCGCAAATTATATACTCACTAGCTGTGTGCTGTAAGGCAAATTATTTCACCTTTTGAAGCTTCTATTTCTTCACTTGTGAAGTGGGAACTCTTACCTATCCCTACCTCGTTGACTTATGAGATATAAGAGGATACCAAAAATGGTTAGGACAGTCCCTGATACACTGTGAGCTTACATGGTAGCTATCATCATCATCATCATCATCATTACTATTACTACGACTTTAATTATTACTACTGAAATAAACTCTATCGTTAAGATGTAATCACACCACCAGTGCTTTAAGAGGTGGAGTTGTATTGTACATGTTTTTCTACAATACGCATGTACATTTTACAAAGGGGAAACATTTTAATAAACAATGTCAATCTGTAAAAATATTTTACTCCCCTTTCAGCGTGATGGTTTGGTTTGGTTCCATTCAGTTGCGTACCTGCGCAATCGTGCTGTGCCGCACTGTGCCAGCACCGACGGTACAGAAATGAGAGGCTTGCTCTCGCTATCAGGAGGCTCACTGACCTCTGCTTCCTGTCACCTTCCCAATCTTCTGTGCCTGTTTTATGTTAATAGAACCATGGATAGGGAGACATACTATACCTAAAACTGGTGGCCCCAGGAGGACAGGACAGCATTCCACGATGGTCACCAATCCCACAGCGCTAGAGAACTTCAGGGGTCCAACGAGGTCCATCAGTGTTTCAAACAATACTGAGCTGAGCCACCCAAATGCAAACCCAAAGAATCCCGCATAAATACAGAACTCAATATAGCTGGAGGACAAAGGTGCTAGCAGATGACACACTCCATTTGCAATAACAGAAGCAGCAAAAAAATATTGAACTCGAGGTCTTATCCACTTTGTGTTGGCTACGAGTCCCATCGAGGGTCTGGCGACCATGTCAACAAAAGCCAGAATGGAAAGAAGGAAGGCGGCCCTCTCACTAGAGTAATGCTGACTCTTGCCATAATTACTAAGAAAGACCAAAGGAGTAAATAGTCCAAAAAACATGATCACGTTTCCAGAGAGGTATAGCAAAAAGCCTCTGTGAGTGAACAGAGAAAAGTCCAGAAATTTATTAATTCTTTGGAAGAACGACTGTTTCTCCTCTTTGGGGTTTCCTCCAATGAGATCTGTATTTGCGTCACCTAGTGCCACGTCTTTCGCACTAGATTTTCCAGCTTCCTGAAGGGTTTCTTTAGACTTATATTTCTCTGCACTGGTTGGCTTGGGCCCTATTGGTCGCATCAGGGATCCAGCCACACAGCAGTTGAGTAGGAAGCCCCCAAGAATTAGGAAGCTTCCTCTCCAGCCAAACATATCGAAGAAAACCTGATTGAGGGGGGCCAAGGTAGAGAGGAACACAGGGCTGCCTGCCATGGCCAGACCATTTGCCAATGGCCGCCTCTTGTAGAAATACTTGCCAATCATGGTCAGAGCTGGATTCAAGTTGAAGGCAAGCCCAAGACCTGGGGAGGAGGAGAAAAAAGAATCACATACTGTAATAAATGTCAGAAAGATATTATTTAACCAGACAAAGAAATTGCTCTTAGAATAGTGTCTGGCATGTAGTAAACACTCAATAAATATTAATTATATTTTTTATTGCTTATACTATTTAAAGGTGAATAACTGCCTATTTGTCAAATCTAGCAAAATCAGTTTCTATGGATCACTGTAATCGTAAAAGATCATTAAGTAAAAGATCAGACAATTATCAAATAGAAAAGAGCACCAAAAACTAGAAAGTGTGCAATTTATAATGGCTACAAGTGTGTAACTTTTCCTGAAGGGTTGGAGAATTAAAAATGACATATACATGTTTTTTGACAAAAACAACATTTTTGAGATGTCAGTACTCCCCAAATGAATGCACCAATCTACTGTAATTCCAAGGAAGATGGAGATGAGGTAAAATGACTCTAAAACATACTTAGAGAATCAGGAAATTTCTGGTGGCGTGGGAGGAGGAGTGGGAACAGACAAATATTTAAATGGACTTATAAAAGCTGCTATCGTTAGAACAGTGTGGCTCTGACTCAGGAATAGGTAGGTACACACAGATCCATGAAAACAGAAGTTCAGGGACAGACCTGAAATAAGATAAAAGTGACATTTTAAATTACTCCAGAAAGAATTGGTCAGTAAATACTGCTGGTTTAAGTAAACACAGAACTTCTAGATGCTCTTCCTGGCCGCCTCCTGCTCCTTGCCCTTTATGTTGAAGCTATTCACAGAGGCCCAAACCACAAACCAGAGCAGATTACTCCTCTATTTCAAACCTGCTAATGGCTTTCTATCCATAAGCTTCACCCTGGCCCTTATCTCATACTCAGATCTCATACCAGACCATTCTCACCGGTGCTAATATGCAGGCTGCTGACTGAGGGCCTGTGTCCCCCGGACTGTCACAAAGTTAGTTCCCTGTTGTTACTCAGATCTCTGTTAAGGTTGTCTCTTCAGCGAGCCCTCATCTCCATTGACCACCCAGTCTTTCTCTGTCAGAATACTTTGACTTGAGGCTCTGTATAGCATTTCTCACTGCCTGATATTTTTCTTATTTACGTTTTTGTGGCAGTACCGTCTGCCTCCTCCCATTAAAGAGCAAGACTCGCCCAACGTGTTGCTCTATCCCCACAGCACCTAGAACCGTGTCTGAATTAATATGCTTCTTGCTCAGTAAATATATGTAGAGTGAATAAAAGACTAAATGAATAAACTGACTAATCATGTGGGAACAGTTATATTTCTTCTCATTTTCATCTATCAAATGTTTTCATCCTTCCAGAAGTTTTAAATATAAAAAGGCATATTTTAATTTATTTTTTGGTTTATAAAAGGCATATTTAAAAAAGGCAAATATTTTCATAATCTTGGCATGAAGAACAACTTTCTAATAATAACAGACACAAATTGAGATTTTTGAATAATTAAAAACCGTAGACATTGAGGGGGGAAAAAAGTGGAAAGGTCTAAATTAAATTTTTTTTTTCTCAAACTTCAACAGCCAAATAATTGTTGAGAACAGCTATTTGTACACCCATGTTCATGGCAGCATTAAGCATAAGACCTAAAAGATGGAAGCAACTCAAGTGTCGGTCAGTAGATGGACAGATAAATAAAATGTGCTGTATACACACACGATGGAATATTAGGCAGCTTTAAACCGTAAGGACATTCTGACACATGCTACAACATGGATGAACCTTAAGAACATTATGCTAAGTGAACTGGCTAATCACAAAGAGACAAAAATTGTATGATCCCACCTGAGTTACTTAGAGTTGTCAAAGTCATACAGACAGAAGGTAGAATGGTATTAGCCAAGGACTCAAGGGGGATGGGAGAATGGGGAATTATTTCACGGGTATTGTTTCAGTTTTGCAAGAGGAAGAGAGTTGTGGAGACAGATGATGTTTGTACAACAATGTGGATATACATAATACACTGAACTGAACACTTAAAAATGTTTAAGAAGGTAAAATTTTAGGTGTATTTTATCACAAATATTTTTAAAAATTTGGAAAAATAACTCATGTAAAGGAATAATTTAATGTGTAAAGTTAGACATTATTCTTAATACACAAAAGTGGTTAATAAGCATTTTGTAAAAAAAAAAACAAAACACACACACAACAGTGCCACAAACATAAAAACATTTACTTTCCTAATAATCAAAGAGACGTAAATTAAAACCAGGAGATACTGTTCACCTGTTAAAATTGAGAACAATTAAAAGAATAATATCCCATTATTGTTAAGGGTATATCCTCTCTCACATATTGTGGAACTATAAATGAGTAAAACCTTTCTAGAGGGGAATTTAGTTTATGTATTTAAAAAACACAGTAGTTCCACTTTTACAAATCTATCCTAAGAAAATATTCATGTTTACAAAGGACTACAAACCCAATACTGTTTACTAATAGTAAAAAAAAAACAATAACAAAACCCTAAATAGTAAATAATTAAGAGGCTGGTCAAATAAAATTGTGGTATATATCTATTCAATAAAATAACAATAAAAATGTTTCCTATCAAAATATTTGATGACACAGAAAGATGTTCATATCTATTAAGTGAAAACAACCTGGCTATAAAACATTATATGTAATCTGAGCCTTTTTTTCCTGGAAAAAAGTTATATGTTTGTACATAGAAAAAAGTTTGGAAGACTGTATATCAAATGTTAGTAGTCACATTCTCTGGATTGAGAAGTTACGAGTAACTTTTATTTATTATACTCACCAGCAGTTCATTATCTTAATTTGGTTATTTAAAAAGGGGAGGGAGAGGGGTTATCAAGAGGATCCTCTATCTCTCAGAAATGTGCGTGTACATTCTACCACATAATTCCTGCTTTACCTTTACACTTTCTCCTGCTCCAATAGAAGCCTATTCCCTGTGAAAGAAGTAATGAGAATGACAACCAGTGACTACCCTTGCAACAAGTTGCCAGACACATTTTATCCTCCGCCACTGGCTGTTCTTAGGACAAGACATGCAATCATCCCTTTCAATTCATTCATTCATTCAACAAACAACATCTACTGTATCACAGAAATGTCTTTTAAAAAGTTTGTTTTTAGTAGTCTTAATGTATTTACAGTTATTCAAAATGATAAGTAATTTCTATAAGGAAGGAATTTCCCTCAAGAGATCTGAAAGATGGATGCAGGTGAATACCAAATAGCCAGCAATAAATTAACACTTGAAGATGAATCAACAGCAACTCACCTCCAATGACTCCAATACACAAGTAAAGTTCTTTTACACTGTTACAGAAAGAAGCTGCAATCAAGCCACAGCCTGACAAGCAGCCACCAACAATCATGACGGGACGACTGCCGTATTTATTCACCAGGACACTGCTGATAGGACCTAAGAAATAAGCAAAAATTTAGTGGTATAGAGGCAAAGAACCTCCCCTCTCACAGCTACAAGGCACTAATGACACTAAATGAGAAGTCCTCCAAAATAAACAGATACAAAAAAAAAAAAAGCAAGGGTAAGAATATTGCTTTTGGTAATTATTCATAGTCATAGGTTGTCTATTTTTAAAAACAATGTACATAATATGATATACCATTGATCATATGTTGACATTCTATTTCCATATACAATATGGAAAATTCCACTGTTACTTATATTCTGTTACTAGTATTCAGAGTTGCAGTATGGTGTTTTAAGATTCAAAAACAAACTCTGGCTCCAGGGAACCCAAATTCAAATTATGGTATGTATGTATACATACATGTAATAAACATGCAAGAAGGAACTCAAGCTTTTGATATCCTAGTGTTTCAGAGGATTAAGTCTCCCTCTAACGGGACTGGGTCAAAAATTGGCTGCCAGGAAAAACGTCACACTCAACCAAGGGTATGTGTAAAGTTTTTACTGACCTTCTAAGTCACTTCCTGTAAATAATTAGGCCACAGATGGGTTTGGAAATAATAGGAATTTATAGCTTGTGTAACATGAAAGATTTAAATACTGAAAGAATATTCATGAAATATTTTCATATAAATTACTCATGAAAGAGATTGTGTATAGTCAGAATTACAAAGATCAAAATATTGCCATATTGTTGACTCTGTAAAATAGAAGTTAAGGCTGTAAAGTCTGCAGTATTTTTAAATAGGAATGTTAAGATGACATCACTGTGGAACTGAAAACATGTAAAGGACAACTAAACCACTCACAGTTCAAAACATATTAGTGTTGTGGGTGTGGCCCAAATGCACAAGTTAAAGGATTATGGCAGTTGCAAAAGTGGTAAGTCTTAGGGAACATACCACTTAAGAGCCAATCAAAACAAAATAACCCATTTAATAAAAATTCTGCCACAAGGCTCATGATAGGAAATTTGTCTTTCAGAGTTATTTCAGGAAAGATGGCCCCAATTAGCTATCATTAAAAATAGAGAGGGGTACAGTTTATAGGCCTATTACAACACAAATTCAGAGAAATGTGCTAGTTATCTCTGGGTGAGGACAAAGAAGGTACTGTTTTCCCAAAAGAAAGTGTCATGTGCAATTAGCACAACTGACATCACTTACTTTTGATGAAAAATGTAAGTGGCTCTCAAGCTCTTTAGCAGCTTGGAATTGCAACATGTGAACCTCTGGTTTGTGGTCAGCTTAAAGACACCATTATAATTTCTTCAAGCCATCATAGTCAAAACCTGATTAGAAATCCTGGCAGATGGAGTTCAAAGCCTCCAAAATTAATGGCTCAGAAACTAGATAATGTCCAAAATCCCTTTTGATTTCTCTGAACTTATTTTTTAAAGAACTACAATTTACACTTATGTTCTTTTAAAAAAACTACTTAATAGACAGAGCAGGCTTACACTCATGTTAAAAGGCACAGAAATACATATAGTAGGAAAAAAATGTCTCCCCACTCCTGTTCCAGTCACCCAACTTATCCCTCTAAGGCAACCAGATTACCTGTTTTCTCTGTGCAGTGAAATTATGCACCTAGTTATGACTTCAACTAAGTATTCTTTTTTCAGGAGTTTAAGTTATCCTCTCAACAGGATTATAAACTTTCCAAAGGCAAGGATCAAGATCAGTGTTCTCTATCAGGGCATCTAGCCTCCTTGGAATATGCGCATAAGGTTTTATCAGTACTGACTGACTCTGCCATTGGTTATTATAGTCCTAAGGCTACGGTTTTACAGTTGAAATACAGTGGCTATTAAAGAGCTGCATGTGAAAACAATCTGAGGCGCTGAATTGTCACCAAAAAAGGTTTGTAGGAGCAAAAACTTGCTTAAATACGTTAACATGAGACACTGTCAATACCAGTAAATAAATACACTTGGCTTTAGAATCTCTGCTAACTAAACAATTACGTATTTTAAGTACTATGGTATGTTTTGACTTTTACATGTTAAATTGTGATTTGATGTTCCAAGGTGAAACAAACAGTATTTTAAATGACGTTACTAAGTAGTCCTTTAACTTACTCTCCAGGTTTCCTTCACAACATGCCAAAGAAGACAGAAGGGGGAAAAAGGATAAAACTTAAGTTTAAGGTGCAGCTAAAATGCTTTTAGGACTAATATCACAAAGAACAAGGGGGCGGTTTTGTTAAGTTCTTTAATTCTAACACCACGAAAAGTGTTTATCTGAGACTTTGAGCTATGCTCTCCAGTTAGCCTGATTTACTTTCATCCTTCTAACATCAATTTTTAAAAATCTTTATGTTTACATCTCAGGAGTCTAGCAGAGATCACTAAGAAAAATCAGTTGTGCATATGTCATTTTTCTGAGAGCTTTTTTAAGCTCAATGATACTGAGGGGAAACAGATCAGGGTTCTTCACAATTTTTCATTTCTATTTCAGAATACTATAGTAGAACAAACAGCAAAAGATATTATTGTTAATGAGAATAAAAAATGTGACTCTGAACATAAAGCTTCAAGAAATAACATTTTAAAACACCGTACATATAAAAAAAAAATTAACCTAACACAGAGCCTCTGGCTGCTTAATAATGAACATTAAAACATCAGGCCTTAGTGGTACTTACCTCCACCATACATGACAGCCAGCATAATGGAGGATATCCATGACACTTCGCTGGTGGTGGCATGGAATATACCTTCAATTTCTTTGAAGAACACAGTAATAGACTTGGGAAATGCATAAGAGAAGCCGATGGAAATGAAAGCTCCAACTACCACTGCCCACCCCCAGCCTCCGTCTGGGGGTGTGTATCCAACTGGACCTCCAACTGCTGGTGGCATTTTAAGTGTAGATGAATTCCAAAGTGCAGTTCAAATCCAGATATCTGAAGGATATAAAATTAAAATAGTATATCAGCAAAAAGGCACTCCCACCCAGCACTCCCCACAAGAAAGCACTTCCACCCTTCACACCTAGCTCTCAAGTAACTGAATTGTTTTCCCATGTTACTTGTCCTATAGATATTATCTTCTAAGGACATTATCACAAAAAAGTCTTAGTGCCATGGTATTGCCCATAGTTTTTAGCAGCTTAAAGGGAAATAGCTCCTCACCATTTTATTTAAGAAACCATAGCTAAAATAAATCTTTTTCAATAATTGTAGACTTTGTATTTTGAATAAGCCCACTTGTTTTAGCAGTTAATATAGTTCCTTAAATTACTGTAAATAACTAAATGCCTTGGCTTGCAAAATTCACATAACACATACCCTACGAAAGTTCCATAGTTTAGTATAGACTTTATACATTTTTCCCTTTTCCCAAAATGTACTCTAAATCAATACTTAGTTTCTTTTTACTTCCTCTTATTTTTATGCTGACTTAAAAGTATTAGGAAGTGGGTACTTGACTCACTAGATATGTAGCAATTCGCAAAATACAAGGTCATTCTGAACACAAACATTTCATTTAATGGACTAGAAGATTATGTCAAAAAATGGTAGTTTCAAATCAAAGATTACCTCTTTTCATGAAGCCAGCTAGTTCTAATGAATAGCATATTTAGAAAATGGAACTTCCTGTTAAATTATGAATAAGGAAAAGATGGGAGTGAATGTTTGGTGGTAGATCTACCTGTTTTCTCATTAAAGTCTCCTTTCATTGATTTAAAGCCAGTTTCCACCCTATATTATAACTCATCCTGCAACAGTAAATTAGCGTGCTCTTTTCAAATAATCTCCACTCAGACTTACAGCAGTAAGTACAGCTCACTCTTGGCTACATAAAACATTTGTTAATCTAACACACAGATCCTTCCATCTGAACACTTCAGGTATGACTGAGGACAGTGGATGTTATAGGAGTAGGAAGAAAACAACCTGTGGGGAGTTTTCCTAAAACCAAGGACGAGGTTTTAATCATTTATGCCTGGCGCTGTGCTAGGGGTTCCAGCCAGTGCATGTTGGCAAGAAAAAGAAATACAAGGTATAAAGACTAGAAAGGAAGAAGTATGATTAAAGAAGCTGTGGTACATATATGCAATGGAATATTACTCAGCCATAAGAAGAGATGAAATACTGCCATTTGCGACAACGTAGATGGACCTCGAGATAATCATGCTAAGCAAAATAACCCAGACAGAAAAGGTTGAAAATCACACAGTATCACGTCTGTGGGATATAAAACTAAAAGCAACAAATGAACAGGACAAACAGAGACTCATGGACATGGACAATGAACTAGTGGATACCAGAAGGGAGGGGGTAGAGGGAAAATGAAAAAATAAAATGTTAAAAAAAAATTATGTATATACAGTATGAAAAAAATAAACTGGCATTTAAAAAAATAAAAAAATAAAAATGAAGAAGTAAAGCTGTCTTTATTTACAGATGATATATCTATGTAGGCAATGCTAAGGAATATACAAAAAAGGTACAGAACTCAAAATGAACTCTCAGCATAGAAGATCAATAAACTGAAATCACCTGTCTCTCTATGAACCAACAATGAATAATCAGAATTTGAAATTAAAAAAAAATACCATTTACAATAGTATCACAAAACTGAATAGGGGTAAATTTGACAAATGATATATAACATGTACACTGAAAACTACAAAATATTACCAAGAAAAAACTAAACAGATAACCCATTTTCATGGTTGAAAGATTCAATATTTAAATTAGGCAAAGATTTCTGAAGGTACATAATAGCATTTTCATAAAAAAAAGTTTAGAAATTAGACTTAAAGCTACAGAGTAGGAGAAAATATATATGAAACATGTATACAACAAAAGACATGTCCAGAACATAAAAATAACTTTTATGGCTCAAAAGCAAAAAGACAAACAACACAATCGAAAAATGGGCAAAATATCTGAACAGATACTTTACCAAAGATTCACGATGACAAAGCGCATAAAAAATGCTTAAAACTGTTAGTCATTTGTGAAATGCAAATAGAATCATCATGAGATACTAATACATAGATACTAGAATGACTATGACTGATAATACTAACAGTTGGTGAGGACATAAAGCAATGGAACTCTCATATTGCTGGTGCTAAAGCAAAATGGTACAGCCAGGTCTGACAGTTCCTTATAAAGTTAAACATATGTTTAACATATGACCCAGCCATTACACTTCTACGTATTATCTGACACATGAAAACACATATTTTCAAAGACTTAAATGAGAACCCTCTAGTAGCTTTATTCATTATCAGCCCAAAGCTAAAAACAGCCTAAATATCCATCAAGTGAATGGATAAACAAATCGTGATATAACCATATAATGGAATACTACTCAGCAATAAAAGGAACAAACTACTGATGCATGGAAGAACACAGACGGACTGCAAAAGTGTTACGTTAAGTGAAAAAAGCTAGACATAAGATTATATTCTATAAGGTTAAATTCTATTACATTCTAGAAAAGGCAAAATTCTAGTAACAGAAAACATCAAGGGTGGAGAGAGATGGCTAACTGCAAAGGAGTATTAGGGAACTTTTCTGGGTGATGTAAATGCTCTACATGACTTTGGCAGTTGTTACTCATCAAATCGTGCGTTCGAAATCAGCAAATTTTATCGTATATGAGTGTTACCTCACTAAAGCTGATCAAAAACAAAAGTAGTTCAAAGACAGTGACAAGGGGGATAAAATCTGTTTGGTTGCACAGGGAGACAATACACAAGGAAAAGGAGATGGCAGGCAAATTCCTGTCTTGGCTCTCTGGGTGGTTGAAAGAAAGGAGAACAAAGAGGATAGAGAGAGGACAGAAGAAGGCCTGAGAATTCAGAGCGAAGGACTGTGAGCTTATGGCTGGGAGGGCAATGTCTGTGAGAAACCTCTGTTGTGCTTTCAGAGATATACTTTGTTTGATTTTGCTAGCAGGGATTTCCCACAGACAATGCCCTACCACCTACGATCTGAAATTTCAAAACGCATCAAGAATCAATTAGCCATAAGTGAAGTAAAGCCGATCCAACAGAGCCGGTTTAGACACTCAAGAAGTACAGATATTAGATATGGATATTTAAAATGTTTAAAAGCATGCAATAAGGCGTTAAAAACGTAAAAAAAATTCATTAAAAAACCCAAACACAAAATATTATGAAAAGACTAGTTGATCTGAAACAGAACTTCTATAAATGAAAAGGATACCCAATGAAATTAAAAATTGGTTAACCAGCAGACTGAACATAGCTGCAGAGAGGCAGTGAAGCTGGAGGACAGGTCTGAAGACAATACTCGGAATTCAGGGGACAGCTTTATTCCGAAGCTCTAAGAAAGGTATAGAAGCATGGAGTTTAGGAGGAGATCTAATGAGACTCTGGGAAAAAAGAGAATAGAGAGAATGAGAAAGAGGCCATTTTCAAGGGTTAATGGCCAAGGATATTCCAGAGTTGATGGATAATATGAACCTACAGTATAAGGAAACCCAACAAGAGAAAAATCTTTAAAAAACAACTATTCAGAAAATACTAACAATCACAATCACACTGAACAAATAATTCTCATCAATTTTGAAAACCTTAGCCACTACATTCCCTCTTTTCACTCTTCTGAGACTCCAATTGGATGTGGGTAGGACCTTCCCATGGTATCTGCTCTCTTACTCTCTTCTGTATTTTCCATCCTTTTGTCTCTCTGTACTAACAATTTGAGGCCTAAAATAATCTCGAGAGATGATTTTCATTTACTTAGGGCCGTGTAAACTCAGACTCTCTTTAAGAGTTGTTTTGCCCACACAGATTACTTGAAATTAGGTCGCTGTTCATTTGAGGACAGGTTTGCCGTCAATTCACTCTCAGTCCTATGGCACAGCCCTTTAGGGTCCCAACCCAGAAGAATAGGACAATACCAGAGCTCTCACTCTTCATGGGCCCTAGACTCCCAACATTTGTTCCCTTGGCCCCACAAAGCTTTCCAAAGTACTACTGAGGCCACTGGAAAGCTGCTCTTCTTTCAACAATCAGAAAGCTTCTGACTCCAAAATCGTATCACTATTGCCACAATTAGGAAGCCAGCAAGATAAGAAGCTGCCAAAACCAGATAATGATCAAAATCAGGAAGTCACCACAAAGGCTGTTAACGGCTGCTGTTAGCTCCAGAACCCGTTTGCCTCCTATGACAGTACAGTCAAAATGGATCCCACCTGGTCTTGCTTCTCAACTTCTCAAAGCCAGTGACTAGACACTGAGACATCAGTTCCAATTCTGCCTTATAAATGTCGCACGAATGCATACAGCTAGTGGAACTTAAATCAAATCCAGAAATATAGTTGCAAGGGAACCTGGGAAATGTAGTTTTTAGCTTTAAAGCCTCTGCAACATAGCAAAGTACCCTAGAAAAGAGGATGTAATGGATGTCGAACATCATCAAAATTCACCATAGACACATGCAGTATGATACCATTTATATAAAACTTTAAATCTTGTAAAACATTAATATATCATTTATGGAGATATACATAGGTACACAGTCACGACTGCTTAACAACAGGTAGATAGATGTCTTGAGAAGTGCATCATTAGGCAGTTTCACTGTTGTGCAATCATAGAGTGCACGTGCAGTAACCTAGATGGTCTAGCCTACTACACACCGAGGCGACGGTACAGCCTGTTGCTCCAAGGATACAAATCTGCACAGCACACTACTATACGGAATACGGTAGGCACCTGTAACGCAATGGTAAGTATCTGTGTACCTAAACGCATCTAAACATAGAAAAGGGACAGTAAAAATACGGTGTGAAATCTAAAAAGTGGTATACCTGTACTAGGGCACTTATCACGAAAGGAGCTTGCAGGCTGGAAGTTGCTGCGGGTAAGTCAGAGAGTAAGTGACTGTGAGGCCTAGACGTGCTGCACACTGCTCAG